AGAAATTAAATTTAATAAATTGGTAAAGTTTAGTTCAATGTCTAAATATTTGTATTGATCTTTAGGTTAGAACGATTTTTCCATGATACTTATCATGAAAAACTGTTCAGCTTCTTCGATTCAACTTCTTCATTTAAGTAATTTAATGGATGAATCATTAAATCTCGTATACTCATGTAATCAAATATCTAAAAATAAGTATTGACCATGAATTGAATTTCATCATTATTAGGTGAGCACAATATCCACACCACTAGGAAAGTATTCAGAGTCTTCCTGAAATAAAACTGAGAAGAACCATGAAAGTCAAAGGATAAAGGAATATGAAGAATTATTATCTTCCATGGTTAGAAAAATGTCATTATGTAAGTTAAGATGATAAGAATGATAATTTAGAAGGAAATTTTGATGAAATGAATGAAGAAAAAGATTAAATGATGAACAAGAGAATGAGAAGTTTCAGATGAAATGATTACGGTGAAAAGGTTGGTAAGAAATGATGATCACCATGAGAACATTTTCAATTAAAAGTTCTGTTCGCTTCTCTTTTCATGATGAACAACAATTCGTTTCCAGTCTTAAGAATCTTCATCTTTGTGTCCAAACCATAAGAAATCATCTCAAGTTAAGGGTCATCGTAAAGTCCAAATCCAATGAATTGAGTGATCATTCCATCATCTTCATGATCAGTTTATCATGAGATGAATAATATATGAAAATGATTCTGATGAAACAAGCAAACGATTAAATTCAAATGGGAATACAAACCGATCATCATAATTATAAAGTCTATCAACGTAATCATTTTGTATAACAATCAAATTGGTGACGAGTTAAGCCAATTTTTCACTGAAAATTCACTTGGTAACAATATTATTATCGTTGATTGTAAAGTGTTTTTAATTACAATCAAGTCTTCATGCTGTTTTTCCAGCCATTGTCATACTTGTATTAATTTTCAATCATTTTAATTGCTGCAGATAATTAATGATCCAAATTCACTTTGGTTATTCAATCTATTAACAAGTTTTTAGTTTTATTTTACAGATACATTAATTCAAGCTCATTGATTTAGATTCAGTTTCATTCTGAATTTATTAATATTTAGAAATGCAAAACGATTTGAATTACAATTTGTTGTTTTTACAAGATTATTTCAATATTAGATTTTGTTACTCAACTAACTCTTGAGGTTTTCTTAACTATGGTTAAGATAGACAGAGTTAACGATGATGGTGATGATGAAGATGAAGATGAGGATGATAATGAATGAAAAGAGAGATAGTTTTTTGCTTATTTTATCTTACGGGTGCAGCATCTTCCAACTTCATCTTCTCAATGATATACGAGGTATGTTGAGAGAGATGATTTTTTCTCATGAAACTTTTTCATTTTCTTCTCACATATCAGAGTTCCAACTATTCAGTGACATCGTACAATTACCAAGGACTTATTCCCCTGATTCTTTCTCATTTTCTTATTTCGTCATCTTCTTTTTTCATCTATGAAATTTTGCTTCTCTTCTTTCGTTTGTCAACCGACAGAGAGAAAAAAAGGTTTGCAATCAAATTCCTTAAAAACATTAGACACAAACATTGAGATGGAACAGAGAATATCATCTACATCATCTTCTGTCATCCTTATCCCTCGATTTCTATTCTCTTCCTCTTCCTAATCTTCATCTCGATTTTCATTTCCTATTCGTAAGACTCAACTTTTGATACATCAAATAGCTTTTATTTTATTTTTATCCTTTTTTGTTTTATTCTGATTAACATTGAACAGCCTGGAAATCACAACATTCACCATGAAATTGGTCAGAAAAATGCTTATCCAATCATGATAATCTCTTTTATCTTCCAAATCATCACTCTTGTCATTTCTTCTTGTAATTACTTTCCATCCTAATTCAACATTTAACATAAAAACATCGCAACAACAGTCCATCTACCTGAACAATGTGTTACTTGGTTTCGAAAGTTATTCTCATTTTCATTGACTTGATAGTATTCCAAGAACTCAATCCTGAGCTCTACTAATTACAAATTCATCTCATTGACGGTTAGATTTTATCACAGAGAAATCAACATTAACTCCTATGTAACTTTGCTGTCATATTATTTCATTTCTGATGTTTTGCTCCAAATTAGTAGAAAAAGCAAAATTTACAAGTTGATTTCGATTCAAATGATAGAAAAATAAACAGAAAAAAAGAAGAGAAATTTTAATTCTGGATGAAAAAAACCGTAATTATGTTATTGTTATTCTGATAAAGAGTATCTGAAAATTCATATTAATATTTCATTATTTCAAGTTAATCTCTTGAGTCTGAAAATGTGTTGAATGAGTTATTTTGTTGGCATTGTGATTGGTTCATAAAGATTCATTATCATTCAAACTCATAAAAATCCGCAATTGTTATCATGAAAACATGATAACAAATTATTATGAGAAACCAAAGTAATAATCTTATCAAGATAACTATTTGTTTTCCATTTGAGTCTTAAGGTAATTCAAGTCAAAATACAACAATTAAATAGATTAACAGCTTCTCATGTTCCATTCCAGTGAATTTGTTTTGGTTAACAATTAATTAATTTTAAATTGTTGCTCATCACCATTATAATGGTGATTTTGTGATTACTTTCAGTTGATTAATCCTTTTGGATGTTCAATGTCCCAGTCCAACCATTTCAACTTACGAAGCAAAATAATAATTATCATTGTAATCTCACTTCCATTGATTATTAATTCAAGTAAATTGACCAATGGTCAAAACAAGTTAATCACTCGCAAAATGGAAGCAATTTGATCTTGATGAAGGTTAAAACCTTTTTTTGTTCATTGTATATTGATTATGATGATAAAGTATCTTAATTGTTTTGCCTCAACAATTTTCAATTCACTTTTCATTGTTTCCATTAACAGGTCACCAGTTTACAGGGAAAATTAATTGATGATAATTAACCTTAACTAATTGGCCTCTCATTAATACATAGATGCGAAATATTATCCTGTCAGTAACAGGAGTTTAATCAACATCTCAATTGCATAAAGGATATTAGACAACCGGTAAGTAAATTAGTTAATTCGTTACAATTTATATAAGTGACATAAATAATTAGTCAAATGTTTAAACATCTTCAAATCTCATTATAAAATCCAAGGATAATTTAATAATCTCCCAGTAGGTCAAATCATTGATTTATTATCAATAGTTGTGTGAGTTATTGATTAAACTTCAAGATATTAATCGTGAGCATGTTGATCATTCAAGTTCCGGATCAATTGAATAACTTTTTATAATAAATTTCATTTCTATTTCATTACATAAAAGAGAAAACGGTTTCGTAAAATTTTCATTTACTTATTTTATACTTCGACAATGGTTCCTACCAAAAGCCTTATTACCTCAAGTCGTATTTCTGACCATCGTCGTGGTCGTTGTCGAGAGGTTGGCTCTGTTTCTGTTGAAAATTCTCTGACCGTGGAAGATCAATCAATCGTTGAAGTTGAACCAGTCAAAGATCAGCCGATTATTTCATCATTTCCATAATGGAAGACTCGTACTCGTACTCGAAGAAGTGACCATCATTATAACTCGTAATAAACGAAAACGAACTGAATTGGACTCATAGAGCTCATCGCCAAGTGGTTCAATTGGATCAGAATCGATCATTAACTTCAATAGATCCGACCCAATTCGAATCATTTAACGATTTCTTCCAAGCTTGTTCGAAGATTGGAGGGACGGATCTTTTAAAGTTCTGTTGTTATCTCGTTGGTAATTATGCCTTGAAGATTAAGGAAATGGATGTCGCCAAGTTTACACCAGAATTCAGTGACCGAAATAAGATCAACATAAAGGATGCTGCAAAAGGTTCCACTGTGAAAGGTAAAAGGAAAGGAAAAGAGAAATGGTCGAAACATTTTTTTTAAGACCTTGAAATGAAACGAAGCTCTTACGAATTACGAGGAAAAAGCTGAACTCTATCGATTTTTAAAAAGAGACCCGAAGAAATCTTCGATCGGCTCTTAGGATCAAATTGCGCTGTGCTTGTTGTGCATATGAAACACGAAACAATCAGTTGTTGGAAAATCACTTTATAAGCTCTCGTTGGAATTGACTTCATTGTTTCAATTATCACCCAATTCGTTTAATCCTAAAGTTATCATATTAGTTAATTTAATCCGATTTATTTACCATATGAAATTGATAATAGTCGTTTTCTAGTATTTATTCTTCCAATGTCCATTCCTTTTGTCCAATGGTCTAATTAAGTTCATAAATGCTCATCTGTTTTCGTTGATTCTTATTGATTTTCTAATTTCTTCTCACCGATACTTGAATCACCCACGATCATGTCAGTTGAGGCTTCACTTTGAGCTCCCTGACGAATGTTACATTTCATATAGTGAATGAGTATCTGATCTATTTGTATTCCTTGAGACATGATGGTTATATCTTCACATGGTGCATGATGATTCTTATTTTCAAGTTTCTGTCACAATAAAGAGAATGTAAAAAAAAACAAATCGGAATTGTAAGAAATAATGAAAATTTCGAGAATGAAAAATGATTGACATACCAATTAAATTGATCAGCTCGTTGAAAAGTTTCAATTGATATCTTATCTTATCAAATATGATTCTAGGAAAAGGAGCAACCGATCTGTCACAAATTTCGTGCAAAATTAATGAATGAACCATTCGATTTCACTACTTACGAGCTTTTCTGTTCCACCTGATTTTGTGGTTAACGAGTTCGTTCATGTTTACATTTAAATTCTTATTTTTTATTAATTTCAGCCAAAACGATTGTATAAAGTGATTTCATGTGTCAATATGTCATTTAGTGTTAATTATTGGTACTTTCGAATTGCAAAAAAATATTTGAACACAAAAGAATTTCGATTATTAGACAATTTCAATTCTCCCGCTTCAAAAAAACAGAATTCAAATTAAGATCGTATCGCCATCTAGTGTTCACTTAATTGATGAATTCGCGCACATTTGCAGCCGAACAAGAGATGGCGCTTTTCTCCTCGTGATTTATTTATTAATTGTTAATTGTTAATCTCGATAATGATAATTACAAGTTAATTGTTTACATTTATATTACTCAACATCTGCCTTATGCTATTATCTCATCACCATCAGCATCAACTTAATTTCTCAACCTCTTCTTACTTTTAAAAGGCTTCTTTCCATCTTTAAACTAATCATTATCTCCTTTCAGACTTAATCTTGATCTTGTCTATCATCATCATCGATGCCAATAGCATGATGAGGATGCAAATGATGATTAAAACCTTAATTGTAACCCTAATCAATTACAGTAGTTGAAATAAAAATGTGTTATTATCTAACATCAATATTATTATTTAGTGGCCTTAAAAATATAATAATTATTGTTTCATTATAATAATCAGAAAGCAGCTGAAAACACCTTATATTATGTATCTTGTGATGATAATTATAACGACAATGACGATAATAATATTATTATTTATGATTAACCAGATTTCCGGTTGGATGAGTAGTAATTTGAATTGTGCATCTTCACAATTAGTGCTGAAGACGATCAAGATGAAGATGAAGATGAAGATGAAGATGATAATTAATTGAATCCAGTGACAGGTAATAGTAAATGTCTCTTAGAATCCATTGAATGTCTCCAATCAAATGATTGAATGAATTGTAAGGGAAGCAGATGAATTAATGTTTACATCTGATTATGGATCAGATACTTTTCTTACCTCAATTAGTTTCCGAGGTAATTTCAATTTCCTCTCATTAATTTTAATCAAAGTTGCGTTAAATGTGTGAATAGCTTTTAATTACAGAGACCAAAAAGAGAGACAAATTTAAATTGTGTAAATTGTCAAAAGATAATTGCTATTAACTTTTTCTAAACTTATTTAAGTTTCACTTTCGGACAAAATGTTACCTGACAATTAACTAACAACCTCAACCATTTAGTTTGCTCTGAGTGTGTGACCATTAAACTCTTAATTGTGTCTGCTAATTTTAATAATCTTTTACATAGACTTTTAATCAAGATAATGATACTTTGTCCACTTAAAGATGATTACCAACTAGTAAATTTAATTATTTCTAATTGTAAACAATTAACTTGACCATCAACTTTTTCTCGTCTCGTTTATTTCATTAATTAGCTAAATTGTAAACAGAAAACAATGTTATTTGATTTGGACAATCAACACAACAAAATCAACTATGCATAAGTTAAATTAGATACAAAAAATTTTCTTAATTGTGATTATCTAATCAACATGAATAAAGTTAATTTACTTGAAAAGTCATTGATTTAATTTGAAAGGTTTCCTTGTATTCATTTCATATGATAAATTGTATTTAAGATGAAGTTTTTTTCTCACTAATTGTTATCATTAGTATCATTTATTATTGTTAATTGTAGTTGGCTTCATAATATCAGCATCAACAACGATAGACAAGAACAATTAGAAAACAACAAAGATAATTAACCAATAATGATTAAAATAAACGCAAGAGAAACTGAAAACAATTAATCAGCATTAAGTAAATAACAATGATCATGATAAGCAATTTGATTAACAATGCAAAGATTTCAGTGTTTGTTAATCAATTGATGGCTCATCACAAATGAATATCAACTAATTGTTGGTTTTCATTGTAATTTGATCATCAATTAGAAAATGATTAACTCTGATATTTCATCTTCTCTTCCAGATCATCTTATCAGTTCATCCGCCATTTTCATGTCATTTGCAAACAGAGACTCAGGAAGAGATGAAATGAATGGAAAGAAAGGGAAACAGAAAGAGCAAGATGATGATGATGATTCCAAGGGATGAAGATGAAAAGATGAGGATGAAAATGATGAGGTAAAAGCAACTTTCCTATAAGAAGTTAGGAAATGCGCCGTTCAAGTCTCATCTCTTTTAGCCTTAATCTCTTATTGGTGTTTCCATATTTTTTATGTGCGATTTTATTTCTTACCTATAAATTGTTATTCTCACCAAATCGATCAAATTTCAATCTTATCTAATTGTTGATTCTGTTGTTCAACTACTGGAAACATTGTAACTTCCATTTCTCTTGTTAATCATTTTCCTCTGATTAGATAATTTCAATTTCCTTTTGCATCCTCATCATCGTCCTTATTATTATCTCCATGTTCATCACCATGTAATTCATCATGTTATTTATATAATTTAGATGTTTGTTGTTGTGCTTCTGGTTAATTGTTTGTTAAATATTATCAAGTGTTGATTGATTGTTTCTCTCGTATTGTTTATGTTATCATCGTGATTAGTTTACAACTAATCAACTTTTATTATTTAAACTTTTTGTTTATGTAACTTTTTTTTCTGGTAAGTTTATCAACAGAAACAAAAAAAAATCTGGTAACTTTTTCTGGCTTCAATTATCTTTGATTAGTGACAATCAACCAGAATTGAAGTTAATCAAAGTGAGAAAAGTTTATCATCTATTTACATTGATTACAATCAAATTGTGATTATTTAACCACAGAAATTCAATCAAAGGAATTAAATGATTACGATTGAAAAGCTCACGAATAAAAGTTCTGAAAGTTTTCGTTCATTCCTACTTTTAATCGGCTATTGGCCTCGAACTCTGGTCATTCAGTTATTCAGATCAAAAGATATTTTTAAGAAGTTAATTGTTTTTTCTCTCATCCTTTTCGGTTAATTATCTGATTAATTTGGTTTCGCACTTTGATGTATTTAATTTGCAATTACAATGTACTTTCATTTTGTGAATTCAATTTCATTTCTTCCTCTTCTCTGATTCATTCTCATGCATCTCTGTTAATTATTATCACAATTAATTATTTCTATTATCATAATCATTCAACAGCTTTGATCCATGCAAATGATAATTATCATGATAACTCTCAACTTTATCATATGAAACTCATTAATCTTTTTTTCATCTATTCCATTTCCATTTCCATCTTTTATCTTTGTTTTTATCATAATTTTTCCAGGTAATCATAGTAATTAACTAATGCAAGTATCATATGAATTCATTGATGATAGTAAATAAGGCGTTACCTCAGCAATCATCAGATAATTACAATTAACTAGTTTTTCAATTGAATTCAGTGACTATCATGATAATATAATGATAACTTTTCAGAAATGATTGATGATTAGGTTAAAATTTATTGATTAGAGCAACGAGAAGTCATTGGAGTATTTAAATTAGATTAAATTAAATCAACAGCTATTAATTAATACGAAACTCACTCTGTGTTAAATATCAATTGGTTAATCAAATATGTAAACTAAATTGATTAAATTAATCACCCAAAATTTAGGTGTGTGACCCATTGTTTCAACACAATCACTTATTAGATTGATAATTTTCATTAATCACAATCAATTTTCATTTCCTTGTTTACGATTCATAAATTGTAGAAGTGCAATCAACTTTAATGAAAGTAATCAACATATTGTAACCAATTCAATTACCTGAAACTAATCAAATTACCGATTTGTTTTACAAAATCAATTGCAATGAAGCTAAAGATGAGGGATTATAATTAAAAACAGAAACTGATTAGCTAATTATTTCCAGAAACAAACTGAATTGTGCTCATCCTTTGGCTCATTTGTTTGATAACAAGTTTTAATCAGTCGATTAATATAATTGCAACTCAAGACGATACCATAAATCAATTGAACAATTGATGATTTGTGCAATAAACCGGGAATACAATCAACAGACAATCAATTTCAAACATCAACAATCAACAAGAACCATTGGAACAGCTTTCGAGTTGATTTATAGTAAAAAAAACTTATTACATTTTATAGGTTAGATTATCGAAGAAGGTAAAAAATGGAAGATAAAAATTCTATTCAAGGTTGAATTCAATCGAACGTAACATCTTTTTCTCATCATCATTATCATCTTTCTGTTAACATGACCATTTGTATGTTACCTGAGTTCGCAATAAGCAAAAGACAGAAACACATTGAACCAAACCCTTTACCTGGCAAAGGTTCACATGAGTGATTAGTAAACGATTGAAGAATCAACAAGATGAAAAAACATGAGGCTTAACCAGTTTGCTTTTTCTCGTCATCATCGTCGTTATTTTTCATCATTTCCTTTTCCATCTCCTGTGAAAGTGAAGGCAACAATTGTTTCAATCAAGGATAATGTTAATTCCTGTCGATGACTAACCAGAAATTCGTAAACATGTAACTTCCGGAAGAAAAGGAGTAACCCTTTAGCTCTGGTATAACCTTGGATCTCACGGTTCTCATTAAAAGATAATGATTATTACATAAAAAATTAATAATATGCACAAACACAATCGATTAAGGTGAATGCGTATAATTTTACTTTCAATTTTTTTTACCCTTTGATAGAATCGGAAAACTCACCTTAACAATGATAATAATGAATTAGATTGATCAAGGTAAAGGGAAACGACATTTTCTATGTGTAAATATAATTAGAAGTATAAATAGTGATAACAATGAGTTCTAATTGTAAGAAAGAGGGCAGATGGAATTGACAATATCTTTCTCACCTATGGAAGATACTGAGGATGATGATGCGATGCCCTTGGGAGACAATGAAGACGAAGATGCAACTCGCAAGAGAGTAAAACCTTTAAGACGTTTTTTTACCTGTACCTTTATTTGTCCTTGAAATAATTTGTATAACCCGAAACCATAACAATGAAGGTGTTAACCGAGGATATATGCTTATTTTATGCTTATCAAGCCCTGGGAATAAAAGGGAATCCATTTTTTACCTTTAGGCAACTTCCTTCTTATCATCATTCTTATCGATGATATTGATGTTTGATGATCAAGGATGATAATGGGCAAGGGTTGTAAAGAGCTGCGAGATAGTCGTTCATTTTTACCGTTACCTTATGTTTCCTTGACTCTTTTGTCAATTCGATGGAGAATAGAAAATGAAAGGAAAGGGCTAACAATGTTTTCACATAACAAGTTGTCAAGATGTAGAAAATTATCATCTCGAGATGAGAAAGTAAAAGAAGAAGATGATGATGATGATGATGATACTTTATGATGGTCCTTGGATGATGGGGCTACAGTGAATCCTGAATTTGATGCGATAACCTTGATGAGGATGATACAACAATGATATTGAGCTGATAAAGATACAGAAAAAAAGTTACTCCTTATATTTGTTTATCTCTTTAACTCTTTGCTCAAATACTTATGAGTTGCGCTTTTGCATCATTACAATTGATGGATAATATTTTATTTATCAGAATGAGAAGCGATAAAAGATACCAGAAGAAGAGGCGATTAACAGAAATGCCAAGAAAAACATTGGAATAAAATTACCAGAGGATTTTGCGCATTCTTTTCCTGGTTCATCAGGAATTATCTTCATCTTGAGCTTCTGAAGAAGCAAAAACTCATCTTCATTCTCACCTTTGCTCTCCAAACCCATTTATCATCCTCATCTCATCCAATTTTCTTCATGTACCAAAAGATGAAAATGATGTTTCATCATCTTTCTTATAATTAACAACTAAAAGTAGATAATGAATGTTTTTTGGGAGAAATAAAATTTCCAGGCAAACTTATCGATTAGAACTTTTTTTGTTCATGTTATTATTTTTCGAAAATTTTAAAATGTAAATGATGGAAAACTTTAATCACGCTAATGATGATCCAACTGAACCCAATCAACTATTAATAAATTATTCCTTTTAATTGTTATAATATTAACACGCACTCGCTGAATAACAATTTTCCAACCCCAAATCTTAATACAACTAAACCGAAATACATTAATTCGAGAGATAAGCCATTAATCTGAAGGGATGAAGAATATTTAATAACATTCAACTTATAGGAGCTCGAAAAGTGAAACAAGACAAAAAAGATTTTCCAAAGTTTATCGATCCAAGATGAAGATAATATTTTGTGTTAATTTTTTTCTTCATCTTCTTTTAGCTCTTTACTCTCCAATCCCCTTATCATCATTTCGTCTTCCCTTGTGAATAAAATTGAACGGAAATGTCGCTTTTCTTCATCATGCATCTCCCTCCCTTCTCTTTCTCCCTCATCATTTTTTGTTTTTTCGCTACCACCACCCTGTAGATCCTATAGGTCTCTCTCTCTCTCTCCCTCTCCCTCCCTTACTCTCTGTGTGTCAGTAAAGTGTTAAATTTATTCAAACCTCCAAACAAACAACCAATGGGTTTTAACAAGCGGATTGACAAAAGTGAGAGAGATGATAAAGTTAAGATGATGATGAAAACATTGGATAAGGATAAGGATGTGGAAGTTATCATCTCGTTCCTCTTGCTTTCCTTTCTCCTGGTTCTGATAGAGATCATGATAACAATAATGGGTAAAAGTGATGATGAAAGTAAAGGATAAACTTTGACAGGAAGATGGAGTTGATTATTCATCTTATTGATTATAATCCATCAATCAAAACAATAAATCCATCAAATTAAATCTCCTCAGGTTTCGTTTATCTTAATCATTTACAGTACAAAAGTTAATCTGTTATCCTAGTGACCGATAAAAAAGTATCACAATCAATTTGAATGTTCATCTATTAGTTGGATTAAATTGAGAATCAAGATGAAAAAAAAGGTGAAGGAGGATAAAGAGTAAGTCAAGTCTATTCAATTTTTTATTCTTTGTCATCATCATCATCACATTATTTTCATCTTTTTGTCAACCTTTGTCATCTTAAGATCACTAATGATGAGACTGAATTCATGTTCACGATTTCTCATCATTCTTTTTGTAGATTATCATTGATTGTATTTTGATTAATGGATAATCGAGTATCGGGTAAACCTCATAGATTAAAATGAATCTTTTTAATCATCATTTGGGTTAATATGATTCCTGGTTTGTTGTTGACAAATTGACAGAGAAAAAGATGATCAAGATTCTTACTGTAAATTAGATGGGAATGAATCAACTGATGATAATGGAAGAGACTAATTCAAGCTCTCTGGCAATAGTTGATCATCAATTGATTAGTGATCAACAAACTGACATCCATCATCTTTGATATCAATTGATAATCACTGATGATGTTAATGATAATGATTAAAATGATAATCATCATGTTCAACTGAATGAAAGAGTAACAATTTAACAGTTATACTTACCTTGAGTTACTCCCCTTGAACCACCTTCGATCAACTTACTTCCCGTGATGATGCATAATCTAAATCTAATATTATCTTCTTAAAGATGGAGATAAAAGGTAAAAGGTCTTACGGTTATTTGGGCATCATCATTATCATCATCATCTCAATCGAGTTCCGTTAGAAAAGATCATCTCCGTGATTATCATTATTATTAGAATTGCGTCAAAAGAGATAAGATGAAGATGATGATGATCGAAGAGAGAGAAGATCCTTTATTTACTTTTTCTTCCTTAATCGTCCTTCAATCTTCCTACTCTTCTCTTTCTCTCTGTCTCTCTATTTTTGCTCTTTCGCACCTATGACCTACTTACCTTTTCTTTGCCTCATCTTCATCTTATGGAAAAAGTGTGACCTTGCGTAATCAAAGTAACGTTATCTCGACAATAAACATCATGGGAATTTACTATTTACATGGGAAGTGTCAATCTAAGATGATCGATCAGTCTCACGATCGCCCTCTTATCTTCATCTCCATCATCTTACTTCCCCTTTAATCTCTTACTTTCACTTCTCTTTCTTTTCATCGTCATCTTCAATTCGCCTTCAACTTTTTCTTCTTCACAGCTATTCTTAGCTCTTTCACTCTTTCCTTTCACTTTTCTTTTCATCTTCCTTCTTATTCATTCACTATGGTCTTCCTCTTTTTCTTCCTCAGACCATCATCATCTTCTTCTTCTTCATCATCATCGACAAGATGAAAATTAATTGTTCAATTTGAAGGACAATAAATGAGAACACGAGAAAAAAACATGAATCCCTTTACTCTTTTGTCTGAACTTTTTAAACTTTCGATTTCCCTCCTTGACTTATCATCTTCTTAATCCTCATCACTTTAGTCATCAGGAGCTTCTGTTTTCCTCCTTTCATCATCTTCCATTGAGGGATAATACATGAGAAACATTTTCTCTTCATGTTAATCTCATCTGGTGGATCAGTGTTGACTTTTTGTTGATTTTAACTCACAAATAGTTTTAAGTGTTATTGTTTTTATTTCATATTCCAGAAAGTTAGTCAACATTTTCATGGTTTGGTGAAGATGAAAATTAACTTTACTCATCATCTTAATCTTAACAAACTTTAGTTTTCTCTTGTGCAAGTTATTGACTCTCTCATAAACATTATCTCCATCACCATCATTATCCGTAAATTCATAATGATTGTTAATCATTTGCAATGAACAATTAACTAAACTTGACAGAGTGAAAAGATTAAGATTCAGATTTCGCTTGTTTCTGTTATTACTTTTGGAATCACGTTCTCAACTAAGATGATGGGATTGTCTTAATCATCCTTTAAGATGCTTCAAATGTTCAAATAATTTCATGTTACATAAAATTATCATCAACATCTCTTACTTTTAGTCATCCAATTGATTGCAATGAATTAAATAACAAGGAAGATGAAGACGAAAAGGATGAGGATGAAGAAGAAAAAGTTATCACTTGATTAACCAGATGAATTATACGCATGTACTCCGATCATGATAACTTTTTTGTTCGAGATGAACATTTGAAGATAATGATGATGATGATAGAGAAAAAAACGAGAACTCATTGGATCCTCATCTCATTAGTAATTGATTGAACCCAAGCACAATAATTTGATTGGAATGAAAGAAAAGGATAAAATTAAATAATGAATAACATGGCAAAAGAATCATGAGAAAAGATGAGTAAAGAAATCGAGCCATCGGTGGATTCTAAGTTATGGGCGGAGGTTCTAGAGATTCTGGTGATTGAAGATGAGGATGAGGATGATCAGGATAGAGATTGAGGATGGAAATGATCACAGAAGCAACAAAGATGATGATAATGAGAGAGCCAAGAAAGTAAAACATTTCTGGTTACTGTGAGATTAAGGATGAAGAAGCTGAAAATCATGACGATAATAATAATTAGGATGAGATGGTCAAGATAATATAATGATAACAATATAAACAATGTAAGATAAATAGTTAATCATGATAATATATTAAAAGGCGGGAACAAAGTAGCAATTAAAACAAGTTTAGAAAAGAAAACTGGTCCCAAAGTATCTTAACAAGGTAAATTAAGGCGATTCTTTTTCTTCATAGAAAATTACTTTTCTCTCCTCATCTTTTTTTCTGCATCCTTCATCATCTTCA